AATCTTTGCATTACAAATCAAGGGTAACCAATCACATGGCAGGGGGTCTTGCTCTCCTGCTTTATCATTCCAGGTGTCCCTAATGTGGAGGTGGATTCTTAGGATTTTCCACAGCAAAAGCATGTGGAAGTTACAAGAAACTTGTACTGGGTACTTGTGATACAGTCTGACCCAATATTTTGATCAGGAGTTCAGGAAAGTACCTTCTTCCTAAGCTGCTAAGATCACAGAAACTTCACAACCCTCCTGAGTCTGATCAATCCTCAGCAGTAATTTTACCAGAAGAGCGGTTGTTTTCTATGTTCACCCTATTGAATGAAGAGAGAAGCTTTACAACAATATGCTGTATTTTTGGGCAATTGTATTTTATCCCAATTCCATGAAGAGTGTTTTATGAGGAGGTTAAGTGGAATGCTGTTTAGTACACACAATTTATATTGCAGCTGCAGCACTTAGAAAACAATTAATCATCTTTTATATAGTCCACTTTTCTGTATTTTGTTGAATTTCCTTTTTTCTGCTGGATGTTCAATTAAAGTTAAAGAGACAAGTTTCAGGTTTGGTGCCAGTTCTCCATGGTTCAGCTCATGCCTGTGGCTCTGCAGCTTAAAACGTAGCTGATACCCTCAGAATCAATACATCTTTTGGATAACATAGCTTTCCAGATTTTTATTTAGTTGGATAGAATCTCAGTGTCTGTGTCTCTCCTTGCTAGAACTGATCACAGCATATTTAGTCCCAGCAGAAGGGAAGTCTGCTCACCACTTGTAGCTGAGGCACAGCTATAAAACATTATGGAAGAGGGCTAGGAGGTATAATGATAAAGGTCAGATTGTGATTTAAACTTCTTAGCAAAGTGCACAGAACGATGTCCTAAGCCAGCATGGGATAAAGGCTGTTGCCAGGTTTGCTCTTTTGTACAGCTAGGTGATATGCTGTGGCACTCTGTATCATCAGGTGTTGGAACTAGATTTTTAAAGTCCCTTCTAATCTAAGCTATTCTGTTATTCCTTACTGTGCAGTCAACATATGAAGATGCATTAAAATCTTTTTTCTTTTTGCAAACCTTTATTTGCCACTCTTTTGGATTCATGTGCACACAGGACACCAACTCTAAACTCTAGCACTTAAAAATTTCAAGAATTTCAAATGTGAATTAAAACATGGCTTAGTCTTGTCTTTCTCTGGTAGTCCTGCTTACATCATAGTGCTAGGTTTTCTTCTTCTTCATAAACTCCAGGTAATGTATGCAACAGTATAAGCTTTAGAAAGTTACATATTCAGTTATTTTGCCTGATTCCTAATTATTTCAACCTGTAGTAAAACGTCAGTCTATCTAATTATCTGGTTAGTCTTCTGGGTCTAATAAAGCCTGCAGGTGTGCATAGTAACGTGGATTGCAGGTGTGCAGACCTAGTGGACCTTCCATTTTGTAGGATGGCCTTTGCCAAAGTTGGTCAAATCTTTTGTGTTTTCAAGGTACTGTTTTTAATTTGAACTCTTTCTGACAAGACTTAATCTGAAACTTTAGCAGACTTCAGGGAAGTCTGTAAATAAAAATAAGGCTGAAGACTCTTATCTAAACCTAAAGAAGTGTGTTCAATTAACTAGATAAACCTTGGATGTTGTTTTTCTATTTTTTTTTTCTTCCCCCCTCCCACTGCAGCTGGCTAGACTTATTCTGAATTATTCAATTGATTCTATGGACTTAAAGCACTTGCTTTATTGAATGTTCATGTGGCACTGTTGCATACTTGTATGTGCTCTTTTGGTCTCTGTTCTTTTTGCTTTTACTTTCTGCAAAGCTTCATCCTAAGTTAACAACTCTATGCTGTCTTTGTTTTAATTTCTTGTTTTAATTCCTCCTAGTAATAAATACAATAAATGCACTTAACTCATCTAGAACTGCTGAAAATGCATCAGGTTTGAAAGGGAGCTGGAGTCTGCTTGGTTTAGGCTTGAGATTCAGCTCTTTATAATGAATTAAATTAAAACAGATGTGATGTTTCTAAATTCCTCTCCAGTTTTATATTTGAACTGTGACCTCCTTGGAGAATTATTATTATGTAAAGAAGAGGTACACTGTGAAGATCCAATAGTTTATATAGTCTGTGTGCTAACAGCTGTCAGTTTGCAATAGTTGTGTAGAACCTGTGGTGAATCACCCCAGCTTGAGTCTGTTGAAATGTCTGAAGATTCAGAAATGCTGAGTTAACTTTGGAAGGACTGGAAAATATCGGTGCACTTCTTAATTTTGACCAGAAGAGGAAGTACCATCATGAGAAATAGCATTTCTATGATAGTTTTCAGCTTGCTGACAATGCAGTGCAGAGTGTTGTGCAATACTAGAATTTTAGTGAAGATTTGGGTAAAAAGATTTTCTAAGCTTTCAAAATATGGATAATTTCTTATATACCGTTATACTTAGACCCAAACTGAAAGAAGGAGACAAAAAAACCCCCTAGTATTTACAGGAGATCATGAAAGCTAATAATTTTTTGTCCTCTGTAAAAATCCCTTTATGAAAGCTAGAATACTTGCTGGATCAATTTAAATGAATATGCTTGACGTTTAAAAGTCCAATTTAAGTAATCAGGGAATCAGGTGACCCATTCTCTGTGAATGTCCGTAAGGTTTTTTGATCCATGTAGGGACTTTTGAAATTCCCAGTTCTGATCAGAAAATTAATATCTAGCATGTTTTCCAGGCTGTCAGAATGTGTTTTCCCTCTGTACAAAACACAGCATTCACCAGATTTTTAAATAAAACCTGCAATTATTTTTAACAGATTTTTTTTTTAACTGATAAAACTGGAAAAATTTACCCTAAACCAGTTTTACAGCCATATCATCAAACAGATATTTCAGGGTTTTATTTCAATTGGATATTTTATCTTAGTCTCCAGTTCAGTTTCCTTATCAGCCCTTATCAGCATCACTAATCTTGGAAAGCAAACAAATATGTGAAAACTACAAGCATAAAATTGGGGTCTGTCTGAATATTAGTATGTCTTGTCTAATACTGATAATTCATCATGAAGTATTGTAGTAATAAGAAATATATAATAGGTCTGAAGCTCAAGGCAGAGTTTCATATTCAGTGAAGCTCATATAAGAAAGCCAACCATTTCACTTTAATAATTTTTGCTGCATTTGAAATGAATAGCTACTTACTTAGGGAAAAGAGTAATATATTATTTATTCTCTAACTTGATGCCATTGCCTGGTTGCAGAAAGACTCCAAGCAAATAGGCAGGGGTAACTGTGGAGTGGGTATAGGTTAAGAGTATTGTTTTCATTACAAATTTAGATGGTAAGATAATAAAGATAATACCTTCCCAATGAGAAAAGCTGCTGAGAAGCCCTGGCCTCTATTAATGGGCCTCATGAGTCAATCTGCAGCAGTGATGTATTGTGCTCATTAACGGAAATGATGTTCTGCGAAAATGCATTATTTTAAAGAGCAAGAATGTGGATTGAAACAAGTATACACCGTAAGGAAACTCAAATCAGTCACGATGTATGCCGGTTTTTGGGTGGTCCCCATTTGCACGGCTGTTTAAGCAAGCACTCTAAATGGAAATGCATTTGACATTTTTTGTGACTAGCTGTTATCAAACAGCATTAGAATTCAGCTGATCTTACAGAAGATGATTAAACCAATTTCTTGTTCATTCCCAGTTCTTTCTAATGGGAAAATGGAGAGAGAAGACATGTTGACGAAAATGATCCCAGATGGAAAACTATGTCTTAAAAGAATCTTAGAGAGGAATGCCAATTTTTTTCCACTATTCTCTCACTGCTCTCCTAATGCAACAATCCAATCACTGAGTTATCTTTATGACCCCAGGAGCAGGTATCCCTTATGATTGTCAGGCATGCTTACAGAGTAAATATTCAGTGAAAAGCCTTGGAATTTAGTCCTGTATTGATAGTGTGATAGGTGCTAGATGAGAGGAAAATAGACACTGGTTTCATGCTTTTCATAAAGAAAGCATAACTTACAGCTATCTATTAATTGGTAGTGAAGCTGCTTACTCTTTTGGTCTCTAATATTTAGAGCACTGTGTGATTTTTCAGCAGCCACAAAACTTGTTACTACGTGGTGTGAGTAACTTCTATAAGGAATCTAGTATCCACTATAGAACACCAACCAAACTTTGTGGTTCATCTGGACTTTCTAAAGGTTAAATCCCTGGCCTGGGGCTATAGCAGAGTATGGGTTTCTCAAGCAGTATTTAGGGAGACATTTATGTGTTTTTCTGGGCATTCATTTACTTCTGTGTTTGTTGCTGCTAATACCAGTGGGATCCTAGTGAGTTGAATGTCACCCTTGTTATTCTGAAAAGCATGACAGAAGGTGGCTTTGCAGGGTTTTTCTAGAGGGCTTTGACATGCAACAAGTCTCTTGTAGTGCTGTATCTGTGGAATTCCTGCAACTGGCAGAACCTGGCTCTCTGCTCCTTTGCCACCAGGCTGCATGATAGCTGAGGACAGTCAACTGTCTTGAAAGATGGCAGAGCAAATTTTGTCTTTGACATAGGAGGGACTGATCTGGAAATTGTTGTGAAGTTTGGGACCAAGCCCTTTTTATGAGTTGGATGATAGCTACCATGTGTATGTGTGTTTGGGGGGCTGAAGAAGAGGTTTGACACACTCACAGACATCACATATCAGAGAAGCTGCACAGGGGTGATAGAAAATGTGCTGGTAAATTAAATCTAGATGGAAACGCATGAGGGTACAGTAATGAGGAATAGATACATACTTCTTTAATTTAACAAAAAATAACTCCCACTTTTGCACGTTAACAGTGGCCTTTGGAGCAAGGCTGGGGGAGGGGGCTGGGACTCAGTTGTCTGCACCTGGGGCTTGCCAGGTGGTGCTGATGGTCCCTGATGAAGCACCTGGAGTGTGAGGCTGGGCATAGTCCCCAGAAGTAATAAATAAGTGGTGATACAAGCTCATGTAGGACTTGGATCTGAGGCTGGTGAGAGGTGTTCTAGTTTTTTGAGGGCTCAACAGAGATAGGAGCAGTCCCCTCAAGTCTACCTGCTTAGGGCAGATTTTGGGCTGCTTTTAGGCTGTGCTCTTCCCTTGGAGGGACCTTTTTCAGTCTGAGTGCTGCAGGCTCCCTTTGTTACATTATAGTTGAGGTGAGTGTGAATGATATCTGTGGTTTACTGAGGTTTTCCCACTCTGGACTGTTTGGAAGGGCAGCTGAAAAGGTCTGTAGTCTCTGGGAAGAAGGTGTTGGGGGGGATGGTAGAAAGGAGCAAGGCACTTAACCCTGGCTTAGTAGAGTGGTGAGACCTGGGCTCCCTGCACAGTGGAAGTGCTCTGGTGGTCTTACCCTGGATGGGGCAATGAGAGGGTGGTGGTACTGCCTGCCCAGTCTGCACTGCGAAGGGATGAGATCCTCTGGCTCTGTGTTTACTGTGTGTTTGTTAGAAATACCTGAAATATAGCCTTCACAGGTGATTGGGAGAATTCTGTGATTACCAGAGCCCTCCTCCAAAGAGCTCCCATAGAAAGAGAAGGGTTTTGAGATCCACCCTGAGGCAAATGTATTGCTACGTACCTCTGATAGGTGACTAAGTAGATCATAGGCCCAGGGGTGACTTCACTGCAAAGCCAGCTTCATTGTTTGTGATGGGGATAAAAGAGTTTTCAGAGGACAGATCTTTGTTTATCAAATGGCCAGGAAAAGCTGTTTCTCTCAGCTTCCCTAGGAGCTGAAATGTTTGTGTCAGGTCTGAACTGGAAGCTGGAAGGAAGGAGTAGGCAGCAACTCATGGAAAGCAAGCTCTTGCTTCTGTGCATTCTGGGCTATCCTGTTTCTGAGGGTGATGGTATCCTCTTGGATAGCAAGTAACTGTCTGTCAACTTCCTGTTGGTGTTTTGCTGAGCTTAGTACTACTGCTCCTGTGCCAAAACATTTTGTAGTATCTTGGGGGAGTGAGTGAGGGATAGTTGTTCCTGCTAGAGCATCAGATACTGCTTGTACCTACTTGGATAATGTATGGAAACTACTGAGTCACGGCCTGAACATCTGATTGATCACCTGAGGTGAGCCATGAGTCAGCCAGAGGAGCACAGGTGAAGGCAATTCAGCTGTGCTGCCAGAAGGGGTGGAGCCAGGCTCCACCTCTCTTAGACCTATTTAAGAGCTGGCCACCAGAGGGGAAGGATCTCTACTGGAGATCGCCTCTATTGGTGTTTTGTGGTGAGCCCAGCCAAAGGGTAAGTCTCCCATTTTGTTCTCTTTTTTTATCATTGTCCACTTTACCTAACTCTCTTGATTATATTGTAACATCCTGATATCCATTGATTATACAGATAATATGATAAGATAATCTTCAGTAAGCTTTTAAATTGCTACTACATGCATGCTACCGCATTATCAGTGATGGTAATGTCATCAAATGCTGTTGATCAGTTGCCATCTTCAATTACTGAATTTCTAGCGGATTCTATTGGAGCCATTCTAGTTTCTAACAATTTTCTGAACTTTTTAAATATTTTTATCATGCTTGTGTTATTTGGAATAACATTTCATTCTCTTCTGGCTGTTCTTTAAAGATAAAGGAGTATCTTATGGTAAATTATGAAGTGTTTGTTATTCGCCTCAGCTCCCAGAACACCTCCAGAAATATCATTTTTTTTCTTAGGATGAATATGCTGTAACAGTAACTGTTTGCATTTATATAGCGCTTTTCATACCAGAAACGTCTAGCCAACTTTCACTCATTTTGTGTATTCATTGTAACCTTATGTAACCACATTATGCTGTCCTGCTGAAATCAGTTCAGTGTTGCACAATCATAAGAATCAGTTCTAATTATAGTTTTGGAGATCCTGGTATCAAAATGCATTCAGCTGCCCTGTGAAGCAAGTACTGAATTTATTTACTTTTTTCTTGCAGTTGAGGTAACAGAGTTGCTGCATGTCCAAGGAATGAATCTTGGTTCAAACAGTGTCTGTAGCAGAACTGGGACCACAGTTCTTTATCTTTACTCTTCAGACTCTGCAGACTGCTCAACTGCTTTGTGCACAATACTTTGGGTAAGTCATCTAGCAGAATATGCATTTACTTAATCTGATCTCTCTATTTTGCTTGTGTTCAGAAGGTAAGATTGTGGCGTCCTTCTGCTGGTAGAATGCCTGATGCTGCACAGGTCTTGGGCATCATTAGGACAAGGGATGTTGGTGAATGCAGAAGTGGTCCTTTGTGATTATTAGTGAACTTGTTAAATTCCCAGAAGACTAGAAGGAGTCCATCAGGCAGTTACATGGTTGGACAAGTTCATGAATTCTGTGTTAGACACACAGAAGAAAACAATTCTTCCACTGGAGCTGTTCTGATCAAGAATGTAGTTAAACACTGTTGGCTTTGTAATGATGAGAAGAGATATGGAAAACCTTGTTCAGTGTGCAGTACTGGTTTTGACTGGCATATATTAGTTTTGAGTAGGAAGGAACTGCTATGGGGGGGCTAACACAGAAGAAAAGTGCATATCTTATGTCTAGCTTTTGATTTGAGGCAGATAGTATTACCTGTTCTTATCTATTCCCACATCTCCGTTGTTATGAAACTTCTTTCTGAAGTTTTTTTTTCTAAAACAACTTGTTTTATGCAGGAAGTACCATTTGATATAGAATATAAAATACAAACTCAACAGCTTTATTTGGTAATGATTCCTTTTTTTTTTTTTTTTTATGACTAAGAGCTTAACTATGCAGTATGCTGTAGTATGCAATATCTTTTAATATCTTTTCTATTTGAAATCTCGGAGAAAAGGTGTGTGTATCTTCACTAACAATGTCTGTAATTTGGATGCCATGGTCCACTCCAATTTATTCTTTTTCTTTCTTTCTTGTGGTTTTATGCTGAAGAGTCTAGTCAGTCTTACCAAAAACCATACTGTTCCAAGAAAGGTTGTTGATCCTCTGAAATAGTACTGTTACTATTGCACTGTATATCTCCTTCCCTTTTAAGGCATTGATATTAGAAGATTTGAATTACTCTGGCAAATAAACATGGAGTCTAGAGAATTTGCAAGAAAAAAGCTACCTGCTTTGTTAGGAACCTTACTTTTTGGTATTTAAGGTGCTATGGAAGTTTTGAGTCCCCTTAATGAGAAAGGGCTAAGATCCTGATCATTCAAGGTAACTGTAAAGGTTAAAATGCATGTACCGCATAACCAGAGTGGACTGGAAAGCACAGACATCTGTCCACTTGTTCAAATCACCAGTGCTTTAAGGAAGCCAGTGGCATCAAAATGGTCACTTCTTTCTTTCAGATGAAAGGAGACTTCTATCTGAAATGTGTGATGAGTATCTACTGACTGGTTGCTGCCATTCTGACTGTTTTTGTATGGTTTAGAAGTAAATGTTGTTGGAAAAACTGTGCAACTTGGTACTGAAGGAGGTTTGTTCCTATAGCAGTTAAGGATTTCGGTTAGGAACAGTGTAGAAATATGTTCTGCTGCTGACTATGTGGTACCTATTATTTAGGAAAGGAAAGGTGCTAGCCACTTAGGTTTTCTTTCTGGAATGCTTCCCTAAAGTCAAATGTTTTGGTAAGGAAGGCATTGCATGGACTGTCAAGAGTGACATTACTTATCTCCTCTAGGAAGGGGATCAGCCTGAGCAGCAGCAACTGTATTAGCAGGGCCATAAGTCTGCTGTACAGCAATTTCAGTGGTGCCATCTCACTCCACTGAAGGAACTGAAATAGGACTCTTTTGCAAGTTCAACACTTCTTCAAAAAGTTTCCCAGATTGTTAGTGTTTGCCAACAAATCTGTCTTGTTTTTGTAATTTAGTAACAGCTGCTGTCTTCATTATCGCTTCTCTTATTGCAGGCCTTTATCTGAGTGATACTGCATAAGAATTTGCTCTACAGCTCTCAAGAATATCTGTGTAAAGCACAGCTCTGGATGCTAGTGGTCCATGTCAAATTTAAAACAGAAATAGCACTTTTAATTAAAGTAGACTTATAAGAATTGTGGTACATATTAAATATCTACTAAAGGCATATTTTCTGTTCAAGATAAATCACAGTTCTCCTGCCTGTGTTTGAAATATTCTGATAGAGGGTGCTGGTGCTTTATTTTAACATCTAAAAATGGGTCAGATTCCCTTGTCTTTGTTTTTAAGTCTCACTGGATTTTTTTGTTGATAATAAACCCTTAGGAAAAGGTTGGATTTTGTCCTTGTTTTGTAATGAAGTGAGTTAGAATCAAATCCCACAACTTAAAAAAAAAAAAAAAAGTTCCTTTTTTTTTTTTTTTTTTAGGGAGCAAAATTACTGCTCAGTGTTTCTGTTAGGAAATGAAATGGTAGTAAATGTCATGGTTTGTGAGTGGATGCATCAGCAAATAAAAAAAAAAAAAAAAGATGCAGGGGTATATAGAATGTGAAAACATACTGGTTTTAATGTCCTTGGCCTCTGGTTTGGGAAGGCATAAGGGAAAAACAGAATAGCTCTGTGGAAATACCCAGCCTGATCTTTTTTCTTTTATTTTGGAGAAAGATGGAACATTTCTTCCCTACTGCTCGTATTTTGACCACTTTTTTTCTATTATGCTTCCCAGTCAGAATTTGTTTTGGGTGCAAGTTCACTATGGTGACCTGAATGTAAGGGAACCACTGAGATGACCAAATCAATTAGGATTTTTTTTGCCTGTTTCTTCTTCAAGAGCTTAGACAAATGCTGCAGCTGGTAGTAGGATCATGATTCTTTGTCATCCCAGTTCTTCTTTCCTGTCAGTTTCCCCCCGTAATTTCCCAAGATAACATAACATCAGAGTTCTTATGTCTATTTATTACTAGAGAACTAAAAATGGTATGATAGACTTGTAGGTGACTATTGTGACCAACAGCAAGATAAAAAGTGATAAAGCTTTCTTGGGCTTGGATTAGGTCTGTGGATTGAACTCCCAGAGGAGCTGGGACCAATGCAAACCAAGGCACCTTTTGCGGTAGGTGAAAAGTGCATATATTTGACCTTGTCTTTCCTAACAAAATATATAGCAGTCTGTCTAATAAAACAAAACACTCCACTGCACATGATTCTTGCCCCTGGGGAGGGGATGAGGACACCAGCACGTGACAGATGTTAGTCATATCACTTCATGCACTGCTGGAAAGCACTCGAGTATTGCAGTGATGAGTGTGGATATAAGAACCTGAATAGAAGAGAATGAAATAGCAATTGACTGGTGTTTTCTATTCCCTTTATCCTGGGGCCTAAAATATGGATAGCCCATGAAAGTACATTTCCTGAGAAGAAATACAAACCATCTACAAACAACTTGATGAAAGCATTTTCTATTCCACTCTCAGGACTGTTTGCTCATCACTGTCCCTGCTGCAATGAGTTGTGGCATAGATGCACTCACTGGGAAGTTGTGATTATGAGGGTAATGCATCTCCCATCAACTTGCTGATATGCCCCACTAGAATACATGCAAAGCTAGTTTATTTTCACAGTTGAATCCCTTGAGGCCATCACAGTCTGCATCTAGATCACAATGCAAATTAGGATATCAAGACTTAGGACTCTGAGTGCAAGGACTTCTGCTACACTGCAAGTCTCTCTGTTGCCGGAGAAAGTTTTTCATTAGCTGCCAGTGGTGCTGTCTTGCACCTTTGTTTTAATAGATTAGTGAGGAAGAAAGCAAACATAAAAACAGTTGTTGCCATTTTGCTTCCTTTTTGCCTCCTTAATCTTCAGCATCACTATGAAAACTGTAGTTTTATCTTGGAGCTGGTGACAGGTGAATAATGTATCTGGCTTGCTTGCAGCATCTATGTAAAGGTAAAATTTATGGCATCTTATTCAAAATGAAAGCTACAAACAATGCAGTTCAGAGTGATTTGAAATGATTTGTTTGTAACTTAGTCAGTGGTTGTTTCCAATCCAACTTAACAGGAAGCTACAAAATGCTGTAACATTTTGCACTGTGGGTCAGGTTTTTCTCCTCTGTAATCAGATCAGCTGCTTCTACTATCTGTAATGTCAAAGATCTGGAATGGATACTTTGGCTTATCATTGGTGGTTAGGCAGTTCTGAAGGGAACTCAATTTCCTCTGCCAAATGAAGTGATAAAAAGTAATAATGGGCTTTGGATACAAAGACTAGTTCTGTGATAATTCATAATTTGTATCAGTTGCTACAAATAGTCCTGAACTGAAAAATCTGTGTGTTCCATGCCTGTTTGATACTCTTTTGAAAGTGGTTTGGATGTAGATACCACTTCTAATTGTTTGGATTTCTGCATACTGCTGTTATTGTATTTCAGGCAGCCTTAGCTTCTACACTTTCTGTTCTGTCTAGTACATAGTATGACTATACTTTCAGTAGGTATTTTTAAAAAGAAAGAGGTTTATACTAGTTTCTGTTCTGCTCCAAATAAACATTTATTGTGAGTAAACATCTCTTGTAGCTACTGATTAAAGAAAGCTACAGCTTGGGCTGCAAAATATCCTGAAATTAGAAAAGCAAACCCTATTTTCAGAAAGCTTTAGCAGGCATGGTAAGCTACAGAAACCATTGGCATAAACTTTACATAGAAAATCAGTAAGTGTTTTCTTTCATATGTCTTAATAGGATAGGGAACCTCAGGAAATCCAAGATGCTCAGTACGTATCATTCAGACGGTCTCCCAAAAGCTAAATAAATTGCTCAAGTAGGAACTGTGTTTGGAATAACAAAACTGTAATTTCCCCCTTGTACCCTCACCTCCTCCCCATCCATCTGCCAAAGAAAAATGCCTCCCAATGCCAATTGAAGCCAACCCAAACAAAAATCTTAAATAAACTAAACAAAACAACAAAAGCTTTTGGCAGCAATGCTTACTGATTTGGAAAATGGAAATTTTGTTCATGGACTTGAAAGAATTCACATCTCTTCAAATTTCTGGTGTTCCAAAAGACATCACTTCTCCAGTAGGGTTAGTGAGAGCATTCTCTGAGTCCTTTCATAAATTGCCTGGATGCATTATTTAAGACTTACTGTTCAGATTATCATGTGACAGTTGCTCCTTCAAAATTGCAGTG